CTGTTTAACACGACAAAATGCAATAATGGTTACAACCAAGAGATTTACTAGAAATGCTTCACTTATATAGTAGCATTTATTATCTTGATACATCAGCTTTGTATATTTATTAGTATGATTGCAAATAGATGAACAGGCAGGCACATCTGCTAAAGTGTTCCTTCACTTTGATTTTTTAATTATTTTAATAGATACTACATATTTTTGAAACATATTTTCTGATCTGTTCCTAGAACGAATCATAAAATTTATGAATGAATGAACTTTTCTACAATTTCAGTACTGTCCAGTAAATGAAACCAGGTTTCTCAAACTTTCCATTTTGACATTTCTGATCAATTTAGATTTATTTAAATTATGTATATAATATCTTGTAGTTGAATACATAAAAAGAGTTGGTAAAATGTATATAATTATGAACTTTTAACTAATTGTTAATTTATTTTATTTAAATTATATGTAGTAATTGATTAATGAGTGGTTGGTTGTTTAGAACTATAAAAGTTTGCATCAAAATGTGAAAACTTGTTGGTGATTCATATGAAATTCATCAAATGCTAAATAAGAAACATGCACAGTCAAACCTCATTATCTTAAAATAGATGGAACTGAAAAAACTTAGAGATATAGGAGTATTCAAGATATCGAGTGTTAATTTCTTAAAAAATAAGTGGTTCGGACTTCCAGTTAACTTTGACATATCCATGGCATTCAAGTTATCAGTGCTTGAGATACCTGTTCAACTGTATTTAAATTTTCAGTGACTGAACACTTTTGGAATGCATCTGATACACCTGCACAAACGAAAGTTTCTAGAAAATAAACACTTATTTAAAATTGCAGTGCTTTCTCCTGAGAAATATTAGGATTCAAGGAGACTCATTTATAACTATGAATGACTAAAAAGGGTCAATAGTTCAATGCTGTAGTTCCTTATTCTAGCTTGACATTTGATTTTTGTTGTTGTTGTTGTTGTTTAACATCCCTCTCGAGAATTTTTCACTCATATGGAAATGCTACCACTTGCCGGTGGAGAGTTGCAAATTTTGACTTGTACTCGGCACTCAGGGCCATTGAGCAGTGAGGGATCTTTTTCGTGCCAGCACCTACTGCGACACTGGACCTCGATATATATGGTCTCATTCGAAGGACCGGTCTCCATGTCCTACAGTGGGATTTGAACCCACGACATAAGGATCAACTCCTTACTCCGCGACTCTGGAGCAAATGCTCTAACCACTGCGCCACACAGGTGACGCTTGACATTTGAAATTATGATTGATGCCTAAAAATTTTCTAGAATTCGCCAAATTGGTGACCATTTTGAATTGGCTTGGTGATCATCAAATTACTGAACTATAAACATTTTCAATTTTTTTTTATAAAGAGCCGAAAAGAAGCAATAGACATGTCTCTAATATTGACTAATATCAGTTTTTAGATTTGTGCCTAAGAAAAATTTACCTGGCGGCTGAAAATTTGCATTTGTGACTAAATTTTTTTTTCATAAGGAGCCAGTTGGTGCCTAAATTTTAGAGGTCACATAGAGTCCTGTGGTAGAGTCAACATATTTAGTGCATGTTTATCAATTTACCAGTCGCCACATGGCATAGAGTATAGAGCTTTTGCTCCAGAGTTGCAAAGTAAGGAGTTGATCCTTACTTCATGGGTTTTAATCCCATTGTGGGACCTGAAAACTGATCCTTTGGATGAAACCGTATAAAGCAGGTTCTTTGTTGCAGTAGGTGTTTGCACAAAATATCCCTTACTGCCAATATAAATGGCCATAAGTGCTGAGTTCAGGTCTAATTTTGCAGCCCTCCACAGGGAAGTGGTGGCTTCTTAACATGAGTAAAAAATTCTCGAAGGGACGTTAAATAAACAGTAAAAAATCATTTTACCAAGGAGAGAAATCAATTGTTAATAAAGAGAATATCATGTTTGACATAAACAGAATAAAATATGAAATCTAATTCAATTTGAGCAATATTTTTCAAATCTAAGAATTGTCGAAACTTCCTGAGGTATTGATTATTTTTAACTTTTTGAATGAATGGGATGTTTGAAATTGGAATCTTGACTTATTTTAAGTGCATTATAGAAGACTTATAAACTATGTCTCAAAGAGCAGCAGTATTTGGTTTATGTGACTACATAGGTAGTGCATATAGTCAGTGACAATTACTCCTAGAAGAGGCTATCAAGTCATTTCCTCTGAGGCATGAAGATCAAAGTCACCTGCATGTTGCAATGGTTAGAGCATTTGCTAGAGTCAAGGAGTAAGATGATCCTTACATTGTGGATTCAAATAGCAGAACATGGAGACCGGTCTTTGGAGGAGACCTTTTAAACTGAGGTCCTGTGTCGCAGAAAGTGCTGGCATGAAAAAGATCCCTCAGTGCTCAAAAGCCATAAGTACTGAGTACAGTTTTAAATTTGCAGCCCTCCACCAGCAGGTGGTGGCCTTTTAATATGAGTGAAAAAACATGGAGATCAGTTTTGTGTTTTGAAGATGAAAGGTAAGGAACATTAAATGAATTGAAGTGTGCAAAAGTATTTATACTAATCTCGAGTTTTACAACAACAAACATAAACAAAATCCATTACCTTAATATTCCATTTATAAGTTTCTGAAAGTTTGTTAAGTTATAAATACTGAGTACGGTTGGTCTTGTTTTCTTGATCACCACTGCTTTTCAGACCCATAAAACCTAACCATGATTTTCCAAAAGAATAGAATATTTTTTTTTTTAAATTTTGCTTTTCCATAAATTAAAGATTTGCATGCATGCTACTTTTTTAACAAGTTAATCTACTGCTCCATTTCTGAAAACTATGTCAAAGGAACTATACATTGTTTTCGATTCCAAATAAAAAGTCTCTACAATTAAAAAGTGAGGAATCTAAGATTGTCATGTGAAGATAAATGATCGAAATTTTAGTTTCCCTTTTCAGTAATTTTGGCTCTTCCCTCTGTAAATTCTAAATTTACAAACTGCCATTTTTAATAATCCTACCTTAATTCGTGTGAATTAATTTAACCAGTGCCACGTATCATTGCTTGTACAAGTGTTTTGTCATTAAAAAAAATCTGGGGGGGGGGGGGGTTAATTATTTATAAGCAAGCGTTTTGTCAACAAGTTAATGTCACCTAAAAACCTGAAAGGCTCATAGAAATGAACATGGTATAAACATATGTTTTCCGTACTTATCATTTCCCCTTCTTCATTGAAAGTTTTCCTCAATTACACGATTTTAAGTAGTCAAATGAGATCTATCATTTATCTGTTTATGTCTTTTCCTATTAATGTTCGTATATGTCCTATCTGTTTACATCTACATGTAAGTACAGATACTAGCATTAAAATTCTTTGTTAAATGTCTGTTTTTATCTAAGATTATTTATTTTTCATTAATGAAAACAACGTTTAGTAAATATACTGTGAATACTTACATATTGAGACGTAAAAGTCAAGACCCTGCATCATTTCCGTCATTCCTATGCGCATGCATCAGTGCGCATCGGAAATATCCTGTTTGGATGCGCGCGCATCAGCGCGCGTCTAAAATATCAAATGTGTGTTATGGCAGACGATAAAAGTGTGTGATGGTGTAACACAATTTCACATCTTACTATTCTTCTGAGGACTTTCACCAAATTTCACCACGTGATGTAGTTCGATATTTTGTGACGATACAACCAATTTTTTTCCGAGGACGTGGAAAAAGTCCTCGGAAGAAATTTACGTCCTCGGAGTAAAGGTGTTTTTTCACACCATAGTCCTCGGGAGATCGGTGAAACCAACACACACACACACACACACACACACACACACACATATATATATATATATATATATATATATATATATATATATATATATATATATATATATATATATATAAATACCTGAGGTATATCTTTTTTTTTAAATAATTAAAGTCCCATAGGGGGATGGAAGGACTCATTTGTATGTTTCGCCTGTCTTTATTGACGGTTTATGTTACCACTTGACAATAATGCAATTCACTGAGGACACCAGAATACTAGAAATTCATCATTCCGGAAGGATAGCAAATCAGTATCTGAATAACAGGAATGTTCTTGATTGATTGATTGTGTGTTGTTTAACGTCCCATTCGAGAATGTTTTCACCATTAAAGAGACGTCCCTGGATGACGTTGAACGGCTTTGAATTTTTATCTTTACTCGGCACTCACTGCAATTGAGCAGTGATGGTTCTTTATGGTGCCAGTGCCTACCGTGACACGGGACCTCGGTTTTTAAGGTTTCTTCCGAAGGACCCGTGACTTTAGCCGGGCGCTTGGTGAAGGAACAGTCACTATCTTTGTTTACATCTTAGGTTTGACGCAGCGCGGCGAACGAGAATCGAACCCGGGCCGCTCGAAGGAATGTTTTTGAAAGATCATGAGTAATAAAAGTACAAAATTTTCTTGATATAATATTCCTCCATGCTCCTAGGTTATAAACTTACGAGAACAGTTATTTTTTCCAAATAAAGTAAAATTATAATGATTTTAATAACCAATAATGATTTTACTTATCAAGAAGGTATTTTGGTATAAAAACAAAACAAGCTGAAAGAACTACGCACTCACGCACATGTCCATTAATTTTGAACGATCAAATTTTGATCAAACTGACAGCAGCTTCAATGTGTGGAAAAAGAATCTTTATTGGAATCGATTGAAAAAAATACACACAAACAAAATTGAACTTATTTTAGAATACAACTACTGGTAAGATTATTTATCATGCCATATAATATGAAGATATCTTGCATAAGTTTTGACTACGTGTGCAAATTGTATTTTGTGTGCAAATTGTATTTTATTCATCCGGCAATGAAATGCGAGCTTATTAAACAGGAAGTTATGTCATGAGTATCACGTACATGATTTTATTTTTTTTAATGTATGAGTCATTTTGCCACAAAGAATCTGGATCAGAACAATAAAAATAACTAGAAGTGTTGTATTTGAGCAAGAGAAACATCATGAATACGCTATACATTGCTGGAATTATTTGTCAGCTGTCAAGCTTTACAGGTTAGGCATTAAAATAACCTATCACTGAAAATTTCGTATCAAATTAGAGGAATTAATTGATATAAATAAAAGGTTATGTTTTTGAATTATCTGATTTCTTTGAATTGACGATTCGAATTCTAATCATTTGCATGTATCATCTTTCGGCTTAGGCGTCTCTTATGCTCAGTGTGACCCGACAGGGTATCCTAAATGTCTAGCCGGGGTTCAACTTCCGCAAGGGGAAACAACAAGAGATGTCAATTGCACGTAAGTAAAGTTTGTTTATGCAAGTTCAAATGTTATTTTTCAAAACTCGACCATGTTTACTCACTCAAATAATTTCCATGCTTTCCTATTTAAGTTAATGCAATTTTCGTGAAAGCAAAAATTCGTAAAAAACACTTTAATAATAAAGATGATAATAATTCTTGCTTTCTTGAAAACGGTTCCTTTTTCAAGAAACATTACTTTCAACATTTCCTTTATATTTTATGAAGTAGCTTGTTTGACTTTTATATATTAGGTACAAACAAGAAATTACTTTTTTTATTGCATGTATTATTTTATTAATCCAATACATAGCTGGAATTTAGGCTAAAATAAACAAAATACATAGCACAAAATTATTATCGGATTTTATAGAGCTTTGAGACAGGTAGCAAGCTGTCTTGAACCATTCAAAAGTTCTTGTGCATCAAATACAGACTTCCAGAGCATTTTACAGACAATCAATATAACATGTGGTAAGTAACAGAACCTAACAGTTTATCGTAGGTATAAGTATATATTAATATATATATATTCAATACAAATTAGGTAATTTTGTTTCCATCTGTGTCCGATGTTTATTCATAGATTTTTGATTTATTTTATTTTGAGGTAGAAATATGGGAAAAAATCTGTTCAATGAAAGCAGATATTATGGAAATTGTAATTCCTTGTTAATTCACATTAATCTTCAACTTTATTAAAAAAAGAAAACCTGAAATGTACTATTAGATATTTTAGACTTCAGTTTAGTATGAGAAAATTCGATCAGTCAGAGTTAACTTTCAGACTTGTCGCCCGCGTGGCACAGAGGTTAGAGAGTCTGCTTTAGAGTTGCAGAGTAAGGAGTTGATCCTTACATCAAGGGTTCGAATCCACTGCGGTACTTGGAGACCGGTCCTTCGGATGAGACCGTATAAACTGAGGTCCCATGCCGAAGTTGGTGTTGGCACGAAAAAGATCCCTCACTGCTCAATGGCCATGAGTGTCGAGCATAGGTATAAATTTGTAGCCCGGTGTAACGACGAAAAGTGACCCCCGTAGAATATTGACCGGGGTAATTTTTCTACGTAGAAATTTGACCCCCTGGTCAATATTCTACGTAGAAAAATGACCCTTTTTTCGTAGAAATTATGGTCTCCGTGTGGGTTGTAGAAAAATGACCCCGTGTCTTTTTTTAATACAAAAAACTGTTTTTGGTAGGAATATTCTTGTTAGGCAAATACGTAGGGGTAAAATCACGCAGCCTAAAAGCTTTAAAGTTTAAGTAACAAAAGGTTACACTATACCTTACATGTACATCAATAATACAAGATGTTTTATCCCATTAAAAGAAATCAAATAACTATAGGCTATTATGCGGTTCGATGACTGTAAGAGCAAAAATACATGTGTTCTTAGATTTGTTTTATCAAATTTTATATAAAAAAAGTTTCCAGAGTCGTCATTAAAAAAAACAAGATTATTTACTTAGCTGGTGTCAGAGAGAGAAATTTACATATGAATAAAAATGCATGGTTTCTGTGTATAATTGTAATGATCCTCTTTAAATTTTACTGTGGGTAAATAATGTAAAAAAAAAAAAAAAGAAAGAATGAAAGTAAAGTCTCAAGGGTTTTTTTCTCTGAAGTTACAAGAAAGTTTAATGTTTTCGAACTCTACCCAAATAAATCTGCGTGAAAAAATGGACAATTTTTAAGAAATTTAGATCTCATATATATCTTTGATTTCTGGTTAAAAAAAAAAACTTCTAATAAAATATAAGGAAGATTAAATTTGTGTAAAAATAACAGACAGGACTAGATAAAAATTCCTCTGATATTCGATCTCAGAGACACAAAAAGTGGTTAGCTCAAAATCTTTACCAATGTCTTTTGTCATTTGCTAGTGTCAACAAAGCCTATAAATAAAATGAGGCTTTTTACTTAAAAAAAAAATTAATTAAAAGAGGTGTTTGGTATACTAAGAATTGACACAAGTTTATACACAGTAGTACGTATATCCTCTTTCTAGTTACATGTAATAATTTTTACCAATAGAAAAAACCGAATGTTGCATTATGAAAAAGCTTCCCTGTCTAATTTACATATTATTTTTTCCCTAAGTATGATTGGCAATATTAGCACAATTGAAGTTGCGTTTGCAAGACTACATAGAACTGTGCCAAAAAATATTGTTCAAGTACGTGATTCATGTCATCGTATCTATAATAGTAAGTTTTGAGGGGGTCGGTAACGAGGATGTAACCCGCTCATTAAATTTGCTAGCTTATAGAAAAAAAAATCTGGCCATGTCTTTCCTATGCACAAATTAAGCGATCTTGCTATGTGATACGAGGTTTTAAAAATAGTTTTTAGGATAAAAGTAAACAAGAATCTTTTTTTCTTACATTAAAAATCCTACTTATAAGGAGTTACATAATGCATATGTGCATGGTTATGTAGATTATACATGTATCTATATAATGATCAAGGAAGGGGAGAATATTGCCAGTATTTCTATCACAATCGAAGGACACTCCTAACAAAAATTTACTAATATTAAACTATACGAGGGTTGTCCGGTAAAATCGTTAACAAAGCATTTTTCTTGAAAAATAATGGGCGCACTAAGCTGAAATTTTCAACAATTGTTTATTTATCATATTTAAGTGCATCATAATTTTTTGGATAAAATATAGACAAAAACAAAGTGTTTATTATGCTTCAATGTACACAGGGCACGGTCCTACGGCACACGATGAATAAACCAGGGTTTCATTTGAAAATACATGAGTATTATTTCGAAATAAAAGTACTAAATAGATAAGGTTGGGGTAAAAATTATCCTATTGTTAATCAACTATCTATTATGTAAATTTTTAAGGCATTTCCTTAAACTTTGGCAGTTTCCCGAGCATTTGAAATGGGAAAGTGGTAAACGCAACAAGCGAAAAATGGCAATGTTTGGTGACGTTATGGCGCACCAGAAAGCGGTTCCGTTTGATTTAGACCTAGTAATTACGCCCTCAGAAACTTTAAATGACTAAAGAAGAAGAAAAAAATATCTCTAGATCTTTAATATACAAGTGAAATGGGAGTTTTCTAAGCAGAAGCTTTTTGATCGAGTCCCCGGGTAGAACGAAACATACCAACAAACAACTACTGGCAATAGCAAGAGACGCTGTCACTGCAGATCTGCCATCGTTCTCACAGGATGAAATTACACCATTCAGTCGACGTACGGAATGGTAACTGAATGCCCACTGAATGGCCACTAAAAGGTCACTGAAAAGTTCCTTTCCAGTGACTTTTCCGTGGTCTGTCAGTTATCATTCAGTCGACTGAATGGCAGATACATTTCAGTGGCCTTTCAGTTATCTTTCAGTTGTATCTTTTTATTGAATAATTGGCTTATTTTTTAACTTAGAAATTTTATTTTACGTTTTCTTATTATGATGGATCTGCCCATGCGCGAATCACGTGATCCAGGCTTTCATGTGACATGCTCCGTAGCGTTCTGTTCACAGAAATTAAAAGATTTTTCCGAGTTTTATATTTCTTACCATGCAAGTTATTTTTTACAACAAGAATAGTCCATTTGTCACAAATAGGATTGGTGGACTAGGATATCTTTTCCCAGAATGAGCATAGTGACCATCACAACCCGACTCTTTTGTATTGGGGTGCGTCGTTTATCCATTGTGGGTAAAGTATGGGCGCCTTCTTTTTATCATATATGATATGTTTAAAATCTAAGGTAAACGATATTTTAGGGATTCAATAATTTTATTATTTTAAGATATTCAACTAATTTTCTTAATGTAATTTGGCGATCTTTCGTTACAGATTGCTCAACTAAGGACACATCTCTCCCCCAAGCTTGCTTTCACGGGGCACCAGAACAAACATAATTTTTACCACCTCCCTTCCTTCACTAAAACAATCAATCCAATTAATGATTGAACTTCTACCATGTCTTTTTGTTTACATAAATCGTGTACAAATTATTATATGCTGCTGAAAAGGAATTTCTAAGATAAATGTTAAGCCGTTCGTTGATCAAGTACGACTGAGTAAACCATTTTATGTCACGTCATCTACATACTGAGTCATATTTATATTGTGATGTCCAAACGTGGAGCAAATATCTGCTATTTATAGAACATGTTTATGACTAAATGTGTGCCAAATTTCATTTTGATCTGAACTGTGGTTTTGTAAATAACGAGATAGTTCACGAACTTTTTGATCACCCCTCTTAGTTCCCTAAAATACAGAAAAAATGTGCACATATAAATTTAAGAACATAAAATACCACAATCATATATTCAAAAAAATACTTTGATTTACTATAGTAAAAACTTTGATACTGCATTAAACTATGATTAAATTTGGTAAACTATAGGTTTTTTTTGTTAGAGACTATCAGTGTTTTTGATATAGCGATCCTGATACAAACAATATATATATAGTGTTTCATAGTTAACGTTATTTAGATACATTCGTTTTCCCCTACAATAGAGATAATATAATTCTACAGATAATAATTGTAAGTACACAAATTACAGGGGAAACAACAAATCTATGAGCCAGTGCTTTCTAGTGATACCCCACCGCACAGACAGACGGACAAGATTTGTACCAAAATGAATATCACTGTATAGCATGCCGAACCAAAGAGTGTATTAAAATTTCAAGCATCTGCGATGAGTTGTTGCAGAGAAACTGCAACGAAAAAAAAAATGTTTCGGACAGACATACACAAACACTCACCCCGCACACACAACAGAGAGATTGGCAGGGTACAAGGTATATACCCCCATTTCCTTTGAAGCGGGGGTATTAATATTCATGTAATAAATAAGGATAAATGAACCTAAAAGAGGGAAAAAGATATTATATGATACATGTATTAAGAATGAAGCAGCAATTACAGTTAATGATAGCATTTCCATATTGGACGCTATTGGACGCTTCATACGCCGTGCTTTCTCTAATTTTTTCCTTGTCTAAAAATAATAATACAATACTTTTTTGTTTCAATGCAATGGTGTATCCAGAAACTGATACATGTAAAAGCTGGTGTGGAGGCAGGTTGAAAGCGGGCACAAATTTTAAGCTAGAAGAATGGGGCCACAAACTTGTCCTTGAAATAGTTTCCGATTACATCCATTCCATACAGATATATCATTGTCAGAAATATATCATGTCATTTTTGGAACAAAACCTGTGAAAAAAAACCAAAACGGATTATATATATGGGATGCAAGCAAAAATAACCATACCATATACATTGTATATCATGCTAGTATTGAGAAGTGGCGTTAACTAGGGGAAGGTACTTTGCTCCTCCTCCAATATACATTTGAAAGAAAAAAATTAGGAGACTCTAGGCCTTCACCGACCCTCCCCAACATCGGATTAACGCATTTCACACCTCACTTTAAAGGTTTAATTATAAAATATAGTGAAAAAGTAGGGGGTAAGATTTCTATGGGGGTTATTTTTCAACGTGTGTGGAGTCGTAGAATTACCGGCCTGGAAGGGTTTTCTACGGTCGAAAAATGACCCTACTTGCCGTAGAAAATTGACCGGGGGTCATTTTTCTACGGAGAAATTTGACCCCCGGTCAATATTCTACGGGGGTCACTTTTCGTCGTTACACCGGCCTCCACCGGCAAGTGGTAGCGTCTCCATGGAGAAATACCGACATCTTACGAACGAACGTAACCAAAAAAGGGGATCGTTCATTGTATTCACATTTGCATTATTGAATTCTTCAATGTTATTGCGATTTCAAAAGATAAAATCCCCACAGGATACCTCAAAATTACTTCTTGTCGTAGTCGCTACCGTAACGCTACAATACATTTCAATGGACATTTAAACGAGCGAAGAGATTCCGAAAAGGGAAATACACATGTAAACGGAAATTGGAAAATGTCTCATTTTGAAGCATGAAGTCAAAGATTCTGTCTAACGAAAAAGTTAGAGTTAAAAAATAAACATAAAACAATGGCCTTTTTGTTCATGCTACTGGCTAAACTTTGTACATGTAAATCATATACGGTGCCAATTTTGATGCACCAGATGCGCATTTAAACAATTCATGTCTCTTAAGCAATGCTCATGCCAAAACGTTGGAAATCCGAAATATTTAATTTTAAAATAAATCAGGAAGCTGAAAGGGGGGTGGGGGGCAAAGACTGGAGCAAAATTACGCCGAAGAATCGTATGTATCTAAGAAGAAGCCTTATTATCAACCGAAAAATTACGAACGGGCTTTTTTCCCATGGATTCATATGGCTATGATGCATGTACATGTATATTGAAGCCGAGTTTAATTTTATTTTGATAGTTTTCTTAGGCATTACAAGGAATTATCACCTCTGACAATATCTGTGTAGAAAATTTATCAATAGACATTCCTGATGTGACATATACGAGAACGTTTTTGCAACTGAAACTCATGCACATTTCATTCAAAATATTCAGTTTTTTTTTTACAAATTAAAATGCAATGCAAATCAGCTAAACAGAAATTGGCCTTAGTAACCCCTGTAAACATGAATGCTGCTTCGGTGAGTAATTTCCAGACACGTGGTATCAGCCAAATTATGTTAGACCATCTTTAAAAAAATGTTTCTTTGCCCTCAACGACTGGCTAAAAATGACCCGACTCAAAACTTGTTTAACCTGAGGAAACGATAATATTTTTCTCCAGAATTTTCTTTCTTCATCAATAAGAATGTTGAAATTTTCTGGAAAAAAATTATTACATATCTACCGACCCAATTTTTTTTTATGATAATGTATGAAGAATATTTTGTTCCGAAAAAAGTTGGAACCCCCCCCCCCTCCCCCCATGATTTTCGAGTTTAAACCCCCACCCCCTTTTTTGTTTTTGTTTTGTTTTGTTTTGTTTTTCTGCTTGTCAGATTTTTTCTTGTAAGTAGATTTTTTTCTCTGGCTCCCCAAACCCCTCTCACTTTTAAAAACGAAAATTATATGTTTATAATTCGACTAATGAATAATAAATAAATCTGCAGCAATATTACTTTTACTAGAAAGAATTCATGACTATCGAAAAAACGACAGGTCCCTTTTTTAGAACATCGAATTTTTGAAAATAGGTGATGCATGTGTCTGGTTTCAAATTATATTTTATGCAGCCAACATTTACTTGAGGAATTGATAAAGTTTAAAAGGGTATCGTTTTTGTTCGATTTTCATCCGACTATAAGTTTTCAAAATATTCTCGACTATCGTCTCCATCATTTAGACGCATGCCTTTTTCACTCATATCGAAGCGGTTTGGTGATCAAGACTCATTTCCATTGTTTACTTTATTTATTTCCCGGGCGACAATTGATGGTTACATCAATGTTTTCTTGTTAATATTAAACTAGGTGCAATAACTGGTCCCTGGAAAACTACCGAGATACGGGAAGTTAGGGCGAGTTACGTTCGTTCGCAAGATGTCGGTATTTCTCTCATATGAGTTAAAAAATCTCCAAGGGACGTTAAACAACATATAAACAAACTTTCATACTTTTTTTGAAAAAGTATCAGTAATTTGATTGAAAGAGTATGGATTGATGCATTGTTCTACACTAAAGTCATATAGTAACTGAAATGTATTTGAAGTGTAACATGAAATTTATTTTATTGTAGAAAAAATATTAAAATCTTGAGTACCTGTTTAAAACTACCCTTCTGTTCAAGGGCATAATGGAGATTCGCTTCTAAATGAAACAAGAAAACATTGATGTAACCATCAATTAAATAAAGTAAACAATGGAAATGAGTCTTGATCATCAAACCGCTTCGATATGTGTGAAAAAGGCATGCGTCTAAATGATGGAGACGATAGTAGAGACTATTTTGAAAACTTATAGTCGGATGAAAATCGAACAAAAACGATACCCTTTTAAACTTCATCAATTCCTCAAGTAAATGTTGGCTGCATAAAATATAATTTGAAACCAGACACATGCATCACCTATTTTCAAAAATTCGATGTTCTAAAAAAGGGACCTGTCGTTTTTTCGATAGTAAATGATAAGCAACTTTATATATTAAATATGAAAAACATATATATTTTTACAGATTCACTTTATGGAAGTAAAATTATTGTGTATCTCGTAATTTATAAAGGGAAAGAACATTCTGATTAACAGTCTTTTTAATGTTTCGAAAACCTTTAATTCTGAATAACTAATTCTGAATAACTTCTCCCACCTAAATTCCCATATACCAACACTTAAACTTATATGTATAGAGCAGCCCGGTCCTAAGGGTGCAATAATCTCATGATTATGCATGAAAGCACAACGTATTTCGGTTTCCCTTTCCAGCAGAGAATACTGACATAATTTTGACTTTTGTAGGTGATTCTAGCTGCGACTTAATCACGTGCTTGACAGACATGGGAATAGATTTTGGAAGTTTACAAAGCGATCCAGAGAAAGTTAACTGGTATGGTCTTTTTACATTCAATAATATAAGCATTTCATATGAAGTAGATTTTGAAAGAAGAAATAAAAGCTTGTCAAATATTCTTTATACAGAAGAACATCTTTGTGTATTCACTTCAAAATATTGCAGAGAGTTATTCACACTCTGTAACGTGGACGAGCTAGGCTTCCCTCCCAAATCAAGACTTTCTTCAAAGGAAAAGATACCGTTCACGGTAGCTCAGTTGGTAGAGCGCTCGCTCCGTGATCGGAAGGTCGTGAGTTCGAATCTCGGCCGCGACAGACCTAAGTCGATAAAAAATAGGTAGCAACTGTTCCTTCGCCATGCGCTCGGCACTTTGAAGTGAAAGTTGCGGGTCCTTCGGATGAGACCTTAAAAACCGAGGCCCCGTGTCACGGCAGGCGTTGGCACGATAAAGATCCCTTACTGCTCAATGGCCCTAAGTGCCGAGTAAAGGTCAAAATTTGAAGCCCTTCACCTGTATATGGTGACGTCTTTATATGAGTGAAAAATTCTCGAATGGGACGTAAAACAACATACAATCAATCAATCAAATGAATAGAATAGATTTACAAAAAGACAGAAGGATAAAAAATGAAAATATCTACCATTCATACACACTCGCTCCCCCTCTCCATGTCCCTCTCTTTCTTAACCATATAGACACTAAAATGTAATTCACAAGTATTTACGGTAAATAAAGGAAAAATCCGTCAACAATTCAGTGTGTAAATAATGGTCTTACAATTGGCATGAACAACGTCAGTAAACATATGACTTAATGATATATTTGCTGACAAGGTCATTGTATCGTCATAGAACTTACCAAATGATGACTTTAAACGAGACCGTTGAAATTTTTAATTACAAGAAAACTTTACAGAGCCTGGATATTGAGCATCTGAAACATAATCATCCATCATGTTCACGTTCTCTTTCACACTACAACTTCACCTTACAACTATAGTCCTGCTGGACATTTTATTACTGGTGACGTAAATATAGTTACTAATGAGGACCCTAAATCACTTACTTTAAAAGGGCCAAAAGTTAGAGACCCCGATCTTTCAGCTGGAATCATAATTTCATAAATATTATGAATTCTGTTTAAGATTACCCGGGCGATGGGCCAGAGATGAAAAAGAGGACATTGCCACTTTGTCAAAATGGATTAAATGTATCAGATGTATGTTAAAATCTCGCATTAAGCAATTGAGGTACAATATGAAAACAATCTTCTGTGTTCAGTATAATTCAGAAGTGAAAAAAGAATTGATAGACTACATTATCAGTATGTAGTACTAGTGGTCCCCGCTGTTAAAGCAGGCGACAACATTGTCTTCGTTTGTAAGGCTTATTATTTTAATTGTTTTATAGAGGAACTGGGATTTAATTCTACAAGTGGCAATCCAACTTATACCTTTTCTAAGGAGGAAATTCTTCAAAATCATATGTCAGTTTTGAATATTTTCAATATTCCCAACAACCAAAATGAAGTTGAATTACCATATTCATATTGGATTCCAAAACTTCATAAAAATCCCTAAAAACAAAGATACATAGGAGGTTCCAGTAAATGTTCTATCAAGCCCTCACTAAAATATTAACAGCAGTGAAGGAGAAACTTCAGAAGTACTGTGCAACAATATATTCGATAAGTTTTGTAAATCAAATGTGGAAAGTTAAAAATTCAAAGGAACATTTGGAAAATTTGAATTTAAATCACAAAATTTTACCATAACAAAAAAAACTTACGACATTTCAACTCTGTATACAACCATTCCCCACGATAAATTAAAGTCCAGGGTTTGTGGCATCATTGAGAGCTGTTTTTTAATAAAAATTTAACTCGTAAATTTACTTACTTTGTCATTAATAGTTTGCAAATTTTTTTTGCTAAAAACATTCTGATTGTAAATATAAGTACTTTGAAGTTGATATTACAAAGATGCTTGAGTTTCTGATTGACAATATCGATGTGGTGTTTAGAGACCAGGACTTCCAACAATTTGTTTTGAATTTCCATGGGTAACAATTGCGCCCCGTTATTAGCAGACTTTTTTTGTATTCATATGAAGCAGAATTTATTTAGAGTCTTATACGTGAGAAACAGAAATCTCTTGTTGGACTTCAGCTCGACATTACCGTCACGGTAACTCATTCGGCAGAGTGCTCGCTCCGTGATTGGAAGGTCTTGGATTCGAGCCCCGGCCGCGACTGACCTAAGTCGGAAAAAAATACGTAGCAACTGTTCCTCGGCACTTTGAAGTGAACGTTGTGGGTCCTTCGGATGAGACCTTAAAAACGGAGGCCCCGTGTCCCGACAGGCGTTGGCACGATAAAGATCCCCCATTGCTCAATGGCTCTGAGTGCCGAGTAAAGGTCTAAATTTGAAGCCCTTCACCGGTATATGGTGACGTCTCTATATGAGTAAAAAATTCTCAAACGGCACCTAAAACAACAAACAATCAACCATTCATTCAACATGACTTTTAGATATATCGACGACGTATTATCAATTAACAATAGTTATTTCCATTTATGTGTCGAGTTTGAAATAAAAGAAACACGTACCACAGAGTGTGATACATCTGTTTCATATTTGAATATTGTATTTGAAAAATACGTTAATGGAAACATAACATCAAAGCTTTGTGATAAACGTGACTTTAACTTGTCAATCGTCAACTTCCATTACTTATGCAGCAATATATCCTTATCACCTGCATATGGGGTGTAAATCTCGCAATTGATTCCATACGCTATAGCATACTTTACGTATGAACAATTTCTAAAACGAGATAAGTTATTGACAAATAAGTTGATGAAACACGAAAATCAGCAATCTTGTTTAAAGTCATCATATCGTAAGTTCTTTGGTCGATACAATGCCCATGTCAGCAAATACAATGTATCATAAGTCATATGTTGACTGACGTTTTTCATACTACGCAGTACAGTCAAATGTTGACTGACGTTTTTCATACTACGTTGTACAGTTAAGGTGCAAAATGGAAATATCGGCGAATTTTTTAGATAGAAAATACATTCTTTGCAAGGATGGGCGATTCTTTTAGGATTTTACTATTATCGGACAAATTCAATGTGGTTGAAAACTACACGTTGAGGACGATTTTCTTAGACTTTTCACGTGAGGTGGCAGTTACGTGATTTTAGTTAATATACCTGAAGTATTGAGGTTATCTATAAATTCCAATATTTCAAGGGCATAACAAAGTTAAAAATAAAAGTTTAATTGATAATTATTTTCAACTCTCTTTGTAGTTTGTGAAAAGTGCTGTGAACCTATATAGATTCTACTATCTCGACTAAAATTACATTTGTTAGGCCGTATGTTGAATTTTTTGCTGGTCAAGGACATTAAATAAAGATATAATTAATTCATTTGCCAGATTTCATCAGGTTCGCAGCACTTTTCAAATATCTTCATACTTCTTGAATTGATGTGTAAATGTTTGTCATAATTCATTGGGGGTATGCCCTTGCAATATATCGATTTATTAAGACCTTTAATTACCCTTCAATGAATCTGCAGAAATATACGGCAGTATCGCTTGTCTAGGAAATGTATGGGAAGTATATGAATAAAATCATAAAAAGAGACATTGCATTCAAGTTATGGCCTCTTATATATCTGCAAATAATATTTTATTTAATTACAAAATACTTTTTTCATTGTATAAAATATGACTTGATCCGCCTCTCACAGTATACAAACTGCGTCAAATTTTACGATATGACGTCACATTGACAAGTGCATTGCAATTAGTGAATTGTTTATATATTGCTGTGTGGCATTTAACCAACGACAAAAATGCATGCAGTAGTTAGTATTGATGTAGTTTAAAGCTATTCAACAGATTAAAATAGCAAATCATTTCATTGTGTGGTCATTTGAAAAAGTTATAATTTTGTGTGATGTCATAGTAAGCATTTCCCGTGTAAATTAGGCCCCGCCTCCTTATTGTAGCCTTAACTGTGCTGTGTAATCGTTAGGCCATTATTTACACACTGAATTGACGACGGATTTTTCCGTTAGTTACCGATCATGACAAGACGCACGCGGCGGATCTAAAGCTGAAACTTGTAATTAATATAGACATATGAAATTTCATGACTTACGTTTGCTCGTTCATTTCAAGGAGCACACGTGGGTGTGAACAGTCGACAGGGGATGCTCACTCCTCCATGGCACCTGATTGATCCAACTCTGATGATTTTGGAGGACCGTGTTTGCTCTGCTCCCGATTTGTATTGTTTTAATGGACTTTGACCTTAAATACTGTTTGTTATCTCCATATATCATTCATGAAACAGATGTGGCAGATTCTGTAGTGTCTTTTATTTCAAGTTCACTGGGATATATCGAATCGTATTATGAACTGAAGAAACTATTGTTAATTGATAAGACATCGTCTATATATGTAAATGTCGAGTTGGAGGCCACAGCAAGTATTTTCGTCTGCTCATGTAGAAGTTTTTAAATAAAATCTGCTTTATAGAAATATAAAAATAGGTCGGCTAATTAAGGAGTACAATTATTGACTATCGGAATTCTAGCAGTTTGTTGAAGGACCTGGTCTACGAATACTACATAAAGGTTGTCATTGAGGATCTCTAGCATCCTTTCAACATCAACTTCAGAGTACTTGTGTGTAGAATCAGGGTGATTTTTAACAAATGCGATTCCCTCATGTTTTCAACATATTCTCAAATCATCATCATCAAAACGTCTTCATTAGCGTCATCACTGCCTTCATCATCATTTTGATGTGTACACCTCAGCATAGTGCACGGTCTATTTTCCATTCATGCATCCTATCACGATGTCTACATGTATCTGCTATTGTAAAGAATCTTACAAAAATACATATTAGAGAGATATTGAAAATGTTTTATCAAGCCTTTTTCTTAACTTTTCATACGGAAATATACAATGTCTGGGTTTGGCCAATCGACAGGGAATGCTTACGATCCATTCTCTGGAATGATGTTTTTCTGATGTTTTCTGGAGCCCGTGTTTGCTTTCCTCTCAATATGTATTGTTTAAATAGATTGTTGAAATAAACTGAGCATTATTACTGGTCGGTATTTTGACATTTCAATATTACATGTAACAAGAAAAATTTTCACTACTGATCTCTCTTTTTCACTGTAAATACACACTAAATAGGGCATATCTTCACACAATTCTCTATTCAACACCATGTTACTATGTGTAAGCCAGTACGAAAATATGATAACTCATTAATTATTTTCATATATTTTTTTTATTTGTTTCAGGAATATTGCTTTATCATATTTTCTTTTTCCCAGCGAGAGTTTTCGTGCAGCGCAGCCTTGCGTTGAAAGCCAAAAGAATGTTTGTGAGGGAAACACAATCTTCGAAATAGCTGCAGGTTATATTCCGCAATTAGAGTCAAGGTGTGGCAGAGGGGGTTCCCAAGGTAACCTGACTATTGAGTGATTTAAAAAGTTAAAAAATGCCTGAATATATTCTACACAATAGGAACTCGGTAGTGTATTAAAAACGGGAAATATATTACCAACCCGGACATAGGTCCCTCTGGAATAGTTAAGATTAAACTAATAACCCCCCAAGGATTATTCATTGTATTATTTATAGAAAATGCATGGTATTTAAAGTGCCCATTGTTAATTTATTTGAAAAATGCTTTATAAAACATCAAGACTGATTTTAAGTGTCTTTAATAGGCAATGGAAGCTTCACTATCCAAGCAGCCTGGATCCTCCTGTTTGTTGTACTGGTCAATATGGCAGCTCTTTCTCAATGATAGCAGGATACTTACCAAAAACACCGTAAAGGAACTCTTTTTCCTTGGGGGGGGGGGGTTAAAATGTCGTCGAGATCGTGTTATCAAGAGACCCAGGAATTCATGTTCTCCACTAAAATTAAAATATCAATCTACATTGTCATTTTTCTTCTTCAACCAAGTAAATCAATAATTTTTTACTAAAAACGAAAATTTAACCCCATGAAAACCTACGAAAATAGTACTAGCAATGGATATGGAACATCCTACGGAGATGTGAATCCTTGTTATCAAAAGTGTGAAAGCAAATTTCAAAATTAATATGTATTGATCATCCGAGTGGCCTGTAATAGACTATAAAGCTTTTTCAAGGCAGATACACATCATTGTTTGACAAGAAATATAGCCGTTCAGAATAATAACGAATCGAAGTAGAAAATGATGGAATTATACACAAATTCTATAATCGCTATGCCTGTGCTTCTGGTTACAACTTTTATCCATCGGTCATTTCATTTAAATCAAAGTATTTACAATGTGAACACAAATAATAATGTTAATTGTATGTTTTAAGTCCTCCATTCAGTACTTTTTATAGACGTCTTTTTATTTGCATCTTTTAAAAATCAGTTATTCAATCATGTATGTTTGTAGCGTTTCAACCCATCTACAAAACCAATTTGAAGCCTCGAAGAAACTAGAGACCCAAGGGTTTAACATTCACCTAAGTATAGTGAAACATTGTAAATAATCCATAGATTGAATATAAAATAAAACAAAATAAGCTGATATATGGACTATGCTATGTTGCCCAAAAGCAAGAAAAATAGGAATACAAGGGATCACCAAAATAATTTAATGCTCAGTAACAAATCTGAAGGTTGATCTATTTACTTACCTGTACTCGTCCCCGTTTGTCACTATCCCCATGCAAACAAAACAAAACAATAGTTCTTGAGAAATATTTATAAATCCATCTCATATCCTCTCACATTGGCCTCCAGCTCTTGGTCTTTTATGAACATTTAACATTTTTATTTATCTATTATTTACAATTCTACCTGACCATTAAATACTATGAAAGTACTTTTTATATTAAAGATTATAAAAATTATTGTGTAATTTTGTTCTTCAACTGACCTTTCCTGGCCCCTGACCCAGGGGCCACAAATTTGACAATTTTTGTAGAGGTATCCTTGATCATTTTAACCGTGCTCCTAGTATATCTGCTTTATATACAGGAGGATAGAAGATTTTTAAAGAATTTATGCATTTTCACTTTATGATCATTAGAGCCCCATTCTAACTCCAGAACCCCTGATCCTGAGGTTATGAATTTCACAATTTTGTTAGAGGGTTCAATGCTTATTTCAATCATGCCAACAGTTTGATTGCTTTATGTCCAGGAGTAAAGAAAAAGATTTTTACAGATAGCACAAAGTTGATGGTGTTAGCCCCACCCCTAAGGCTCCAGGGGGCAGGGACCATGAAAGTCACAATTTTGAACCCCTTCACTAATAGATGTTCTGTGGCAAAATTGCTTGAAATGGATCAGCGGCTGCAGAAACAAATTAAAGCTGACAATGTTCAAATGTTATCGCACGGCACACGACGCACGACGGTGGATGAAAACAGATAGCAAAAGTAAAACTTCTGCAAAGCAATTATACCTTCCCCTCGGAATGTTTACTACATAGTGAAGCTTCACCCTTGGAATAATCGCTAAATAGAATACATTTCTAGCTTTTGGATACTTTACTATATAGTAAATTTCCCCCGAGGAACGTCGAGTATATAGCAAACATTTCCTTGAATAAAGCACCCACCTTGATATTTTGCTATGCATTGAACGTTTTCACTTACCCATGCTTAATCCCAGGATATTATTCACTTTCATCGTGCTATCTGAGTATTGATAATCAAAATTAGCTTTAGTAATGAACAAGATTCTTAATCAAGAAATTTGGTTATTCTATCTCCTCACTATCACTACTGAACTTATTATCCCCTGATATTCTGATTTTTCTCTGAAAATCTCTGTCAACCCTTGTACTTTCACTGTACATTACTGTACTTACCTCTGTACTTCACAGTACATAACAGTACAACTCTGTACAGAGGCACAGCATTTCACAGCACCTCCCTGTACTTCACAGTACACTTCCTCTGTACATCACTGTACTTCACAATACTTCACAGTACGCAATCACTGCTTTCCACTGTACGTCACAGATTTTAGCAGTACAGATAACTGATCTTCACAGTACATTGCTGTTATTCCCTGAACCCTCATACTGTACACCACAGTACATCAAAACATTCTACAGTTTATTTAGTATATACCAATGTACAAACAATTTTATTCTGTCCTACCCTGAAAAGCTTTGTATCCTAGGAAATTTATTTAATCTTTAAAAAAAATCTTATTTTATTTCATGGTTGCTTTTGAATACATGTATTTCTGAGAGATTAATTTTCAAAGTGGATATAGCGCCCTTGATTCTAGATATAACTGAAAATATTCTATTTCCCTTTTTTTAATACCTTTGTCCCAGTATTTTAAATTAGTTTCCATTTAACATCTGAGAAATGAGTAAACGGACATTTTAAAGAAATAAAGAGTTTGCCATTTTTTTTTAAATTTATAGTTAATTAATTATATTAATCTTACATTTTTTTTTAATTTATAGTTAATTAATTATATTAATCTTTTCTCCACATAGTATTGCATGTTTTTAATTCTACATAATTGTGTACACTGAAAATTACTTCAACTTTTCATTTTCCATGAATTATCTTATATGTACAGCGTACATCTACTGATAATTTTCTCTTTATATTCATTATAAAACAACTAGAATTAATTATTCCCTAATCGCCTTCAAACGTACTGATACCCCCCCCCCCCTTTTCTCGATAAACTGAGAGAAATTATTGAAAATGTGCCGTCTTTACTGCAATACGTTGATAATAATTGACCTTAAGTTATATTGCCGGTATTGAACTCCAAAACAGTGCTGATAATCTTGGTTTGTGATGATAAACGTAATAAAAATATATAAATAATTTTATTATTAACATAATTCCCGATAGCTGCTGATCTGTAGCTCACTGGTCTGAAAAAAAATTGGGATGAACGACCAGAGATGGTCGTCCATCCCAATTTTTTCAGATCAGCAAGCTACAGATCTGCAGCTAAATTCCCGACGAATTCGATATAAAGTACAAAGTATTAATCTTGCGAATCAAGTTCATTTTAAGTGATTGTATGGAACCGTTGTCTCTTTCTAAGTTCAATCTTAAAATCAATTGATAAATTTAATTCAACAATTAATAATCATTTTATTCTATTCAATACAATGGGTACGTATATCCGTATACATGTAGCTTGCTTTATTTCCTTTTAACATTGAATAGAAAAAACATGTTTTTAAATATTTCTCAACAAGACAAGCACCTCTGAATTTTTTCTCTATGTATTTTTTAATGTAAAATTATAAAGACTTGGTTTAAAATTAAGGAGTAATTGTACATGTAATTTAAAATATCCCTGCTAACCACTTTTAAGGATTTCTGGTATCCTCAGACAGATTTCTGAAATGGGTAGGAATAATGATCGTATGACGTTTGTTACAGTTCATGTGGAAACACACCTCCCCACAACCCCAACCCCCCCTTTCCACCCCCACCCCCTTTACGAAAAAACACTAGAAACTTGGTATCAATATTTCATGATAAACGAGGTCCTTACTGAACTTCCCTGCTGATCGGAAATAGTTCGTGAATTTCTAAGTACTATATCAAACAATTGTGTCCTAATTAGGCTCTAAACCATGACATAAGAAAACCTTTAAACGCTTAAAATATGAATAGAATTCCCCGAATTACATAAAAACCCTAAATATCTGGTATGCGTCAAAAGAATCTAATTTTATGTGTCGTTTTACTAAAAATTTCTTTGACCACTTGGCACAAACGTATTCATCATAACGTTTTGTCTCAGTTTAATATCTCAATCACTGGCCCAAACGATAATCAGCGCGAAGTTTTACCGTAATCTCTCTCTCTCTCTCTCTCATATACATATAATGACAGAGGCTGTGACATCAATGTAAAAATAAAGTTTTTCATGTATATACAGTGCGCATAATTCCTACTGAAATTTGATTTTTTTTTTTTTATTTCTTCTGAACTTTTTGCATGTAATTTATTTTCAAATTGAATTATTTAAATAATAATAAAAATTGCAAGTTCACACAATGTACCCCATGAACATAAGAACAAGGTGTATATTTAAACTATACTCATGGAAAAAAAGACTTAAGGAGGTGCTCCCTCAATAATAAGACTCTGTTACACCACCCTTTTTTTTTGTTGCTTGATTTTGCCCACCCAAACTAAGAATGTATGGACATGCCCTGCCAAACCAAACTAAACAGGTCTTTCGCGGGACTGCACTTGTTTTGTTTTATTAAAGTTTATATCCACACTTAAAGTTCGTTTTCTTTTATATGTTTATAGATCTATAATGAATGTAGTTCAGACGACATCACAATAACTCATTATTGTGCGATCTATCACTTTTCAGTCCCGTAAAATGCGCATCGCACACTAAACCGATCTACCAGAAAACAAGGGGGGGGGGGGCTAAAATGATTTTCTTTTTTTCCCTTATATGAGTTTCACATTATCAGAAATCATTTATTTTTATATATTTATCTATTGTGAAGGAAAGTGATAGATTATAAAGAATTCAATCGATAATGTGTTCAGTGGCTCAAACTTGTGTCCTTAACCTAGCTGTGGCCGTAATGTTGCGTAACTAACTTCATGTGAACTCCGGCGAGTGCCTTTCTGTATAATGCAGCAGTGACACCTATTGTCTTAGTTTCTCGCTACCGTATACACTCGGATCACCTCAGTCGATTCTATCTACACACAGAGTAACATCACAGACTTTCCGATTGTTTGTTTGATAATTCCGGTATTCAGCAGACTTGAAACATTTCGTAATTAGTACGAAAATGAAACTTGTTTATATACTTAACAAAGATTCCGACTGGACTATGAAACATCAATTTAATCTTTTTTTTTATAAAAGTTTTGGTGTAAACCTTTATGAAATTAAAACTATTAATAACCGTAATAATTGAAATAAATGGGAAAGTTTTGTCATGTTAAAAAAATATACAAATATTAGATACAAAAATAAAATGTTACAAATCATGCCATGTTAAATAAAATGAATTCTCTACATCTTAGTATAAAATATAGTTAACACTATTTAATTCACCACATTTAGATTAACGTACAAAATGTGGGCACATTAATACGACTTCTATATCTTGCCGTTAAATCAGGCGAGAAATTACAAATTAAAACCAATGTCAGCGTATCTATTGAGAGATCAGTCGCTCACACACAGTCAAAAAATACATGATTGCCCGTTTGTCAAAGTTTTGAGAGATCTGAAAAGTTTTCGCCTTGGTTAGTAGTTAGACATTTGCTCAGTGTACTTCCTCGACCACGTATTTTATTTATTCAAACTTTGCAAGACATTCATGACAACAATTCTCACCAATTGTGACATCACCAGCATAATTAAATACCAAGGTTACTCCAAATAGCACCGGGACAAAAACAGATAAAACAAGTGAACAAAATAAAATAAGTTAACTTAGTATTGATTTAACCAGCGGGCGTACTCTGTATGCGGCTAAGTTGATCTTTATTTAAGATCATTACTTGTTTTGTACCCCTCCCCCTTTTTAATTTATTTTTCAATTAAATTAATAACAAAATGGCAGAGGCACTTAACGTTATAAACCTTTATCTGTTTTTTTTTTTTATTATTGGTTATCTCTTAATCTCGCTGGACTTTACGCACGAATGAAAATGGACGAATATATTTTTTTTCACACTTCCCGGTAATTGCTATCTGTTTTTAAACAAATAAATAACTTATTTGGTTTTTCTAAGATAGCCACGTCTCTAAACTTTCATTAGAACTGCACATGTGGGTTTAATATCTTACGTGGAATCCTCAGTGATCAAAATGATTAAGGAACCTTTATGGATCCT